CTGACAGTGCCATTTGAAACTACCAAGGTTATGAAAAACAGGAAATTCTGAGACACTGTCACAAACCAGAGAAGACTAAGGCGATAGGACAACTAATTACCATCTAGGATCCTGGATAGGATCCTGGAACAAAAAACAAGAACATTAATAAAAAAACTTGTGAAATTTGAATAAAGTTTAGAGTTTAGTTAACACTCATGTACAAACATTGGTTTCTTGGTTTCAACAAATGTACCATGGTGATATGAGATATTAGGAGAAACTGGGTGAAGGGCAGATCTGTAACTTTTCTTTAAATCTAAAATTATTCCAAAATAAAAATTTTGTTTAAAGGAAAAACTAAATCAAAGTTTGACAATAAAGGTGATGGGAACATCAAAGAAATGGCACCGTGCTAAGGGTCTGGCTGCCTGCCCCTTGAAAAAGTTAAAAATTAAGAGACAAGGTTGGTGGAAAGTAAAGCAGGTTTATTCAGAATGCTGGCATTCTGGGAGGATGGTGCCCTTCTGTCCCAAGGCAATCTCTGTTTCTAGACTGGGCAGAAGATTTTACATGTACACAAGAAGAACAAAAGAAACGGGGAGTTGGTCAGGCAGGTCTGAGGGCTGACATCGCTTCCTGGGATCTGGTCTGTTTTAAGATAATGTTATCTCTGGACTCGGCCACTGTGGCCTGGGGCTTTATGCGTCACCAGTAAAAACTGCAAAGGAGTTGCAAAATGTTGTAGATTCCAGTGTCCAAGCACCTGAGGCTTAAGAAATTGCTCTTTTCGGGTTAGGATTCTGCTGATTAAATGGATTAACAAGGTGTGTGTAGCCTTAAGAACGGAACAAAACAGAGTTCTTAATCAGTGAGGGGAGAAACAAAGAGAAAACAGCTGACTATCCGGTCAGCTCAAACTGCAAGCTAGCTAAGTCTAACTACATTATTGATTCCCCAAGTTTCACCCTTACGGAAACACAAGAACATCCGTACAAATTGAGCCTGTGGCTGAGGGAGGATCCCTCTCAGCTCTAGAGATTCTCATTGGTTATCTGATTGCCCACAAACAGCAGGCATTTATTGAGCATCCCTCCAGTGTGGTAGTTCTCAAATGTTGTATCAGAATCCCCTGGAAATTAATAAAGACCACTAGGACCCAGGCTCATTGAAGTAAACTAGCACTTGGACTTCTGTGTTTTCATACAGTTCCCTGATGATCCTGATACATATCCAAACTTGAGAACCAATTCTCTAGGGCTTTTCTTTTAACATTATCATTCATTCAACAATCATTTATTGAACAACTATGCTATGCCAGCCCATTGTTATTATAGTACTACGTATACAGTAGTAGACACACAGGCAAAGACCTCATAGAGCTAACATTCTAATGTGCAAATAAATATACACTGACTGAGTCTCTTCTTGTATTTCCCAGTTCCATGTCCCCAAAGAGAAAATCTAATTGGCCTAGCTAGTCACCACCGTCTCTTGTTTGTTTTAGGGGGCTGGGGGCAGAGCTCTTCTTAACAGGCCACTGAATAGGTTATTGGTTAGTGTAGGTGTTGGTGGCTGGTAGGTTATGGCGGGCCAGCCGCCACAAGTCGATCAGTACCCGAAGGGGGGAGTGGGAATGAATAAAGAGACACTCACACAAATGCTGATGTGGCCGGTCTTCACTGATGGTGAAGCGCTGAGTTTATTTTTCCTCACCAATATATGCAGTTTGAGTACGTGCAACACTGCAGGTACAACTACGCATTACCTCATACAGAAGCAGATCATTAACTATCTACTGGAGACTTAAAGATCAGGGGGGCTTTAGGGGATTAGCTTCCCAGGACACTTTCTTCCATTAGCCCAGATAGCCATCTATCTATAGTATCTCCTAAGGAACTGGCCATCCTCACCACATACCTCAACAACTTGTAAGCACCCTCCAGGTGCAGGCAGAGACAATGCCTTAGGAGCAGAAACAGGTTAAGCATTAACTGAGCCAGTCTGTAAGGCTCTGAATTACCTGTAACCATGGCTCCCCACAGTAGGTCAGGGGTTCCCCTCTACTCCAGTCTGCTGTGGCTGGTGTTCCACGGCACACTGACCCCCTCCTGAGGTTTGCTCCGTAAGCAAAACAAACTAGGTTGGGAAGAGGCCATTGATGAGGGAGGCCCAACTGGCTGAACATGCAGAGTGGCTATCATGCAAAGGCAGCAGGAACCAAACTTTCCCAGGGCAGTCTGGAGGCAAAAATGTTAGGCTGCACTAGCTGATATGATACAAATGACCCTATCATTTACACTCATTTATGGGAACTCAGAGTTAATGAAACCCAGAATAGACACAGACACATTGTGTCTCAGATACTTCTTCCAGAAAAGTAGATTTCTTCTGGTTTGATTTTTTTGAGTCTGTAGATATTTGCTCTTGCTGGGTTTTGCTTTCCGGCTGCCTGTGGTGTTTCAAAATACAAACTTGCCTGCAACAGATTCCTACTTGAATGGAGACTCACTTGGACAGTAATCTCCCATGTCTTCCCCTCCATGATGTAATATTTGTTTATATTAGCTTTGACAACGTTCTTGGGATTTTATTCTCTGCCCTCTGAGCACATTCCCTAACTAAAAGAGGAAAACTGGCACCATAAAAACTGGAGCAACATTTTTTTAGTCCCAAATCAGGTGAGCCTTGTACGTCACCCTCTACAAATTGCCACTAAAGTGAGAACACAGGTTTTGATGAGGCACAAATAGGAGCAGCAGCAGTAAGTTACTAACTGATCCTGAAAACAAAAGGCTTTGAAGCTCTTCATTATACACATTCAATTCAAATCAACAAACATTACTACTGTGTTCCCAACGCTCAACCAGGAACTGGGGATCTAAAGATGAAAAGATCCTCACCCTGAATGAATGGACCATAAACGGTGTAAGACAGGCCTGTGATGATGATGATGTTACCAGAAAAGAAGAAACTAGTCCAGGAACTCAGAGTGAGGAGAGAGTCATTCTGAATTTAGGGATAAATAACTAACATTTGAGATGGACATTAAGGGATAGTTAAAATTTTTCTAAGAAAAATGTAGGCAAGAGCATTCCAGATGTATGGATTAGCATAAATAACATCAAGAAGGTAAGAAAGTAAACTGTATGTATGGGGAATAGCAGGTTAACCAAACTCTAAATTTATTCAAAGTTCACAAGTTTTTCCTCCACTTGTATGGCAGAAACACAGTATGGCTCTAAGGGAGGGCCGGGAGCTGCTCATGGACTTCCAAAGGCCCACAGCCTAGGTTCTGCAAACCCAGTGTCAGGCCAGTGTCAGGCATCTGGGAAACAAAAATTTTGACCACTGAACACAGCAACAGCTTATTACACCACCATGAAGAGGAGTGTAATTGCCAAGCAGAACACAACATTATCATCAAATCTCGTTCTTATGTTTGTTCCTTTGCATTAAATTAATTAATTTGTTGAATTAGCTGCCAGGCACTCTGCTAAGTATTAGGAACACAGAGCTGACTCCACTGAGGTTCCTGTCGTTGAGGAGCCTAATAACTGGAGATTTGATTCATGTATTTATGTATTTATTAGGCCTCCTAAAAACCTGATACTGGTTTACTGACAGCAAAGAAAGATAAATTTTTAGGTTTAAATTTTAAATACTCTGTTATAGAAACAGTCCATGAGCACTACGGAAGCTAGAACAAGCAAAAACAAAAAAATAAAACGTCTCTGTTACTACCCAGAGATCACTACTGTAACCCTTGATTCATACTCTCCCATATCTTCATGTGTATACATATGTATTGGTATGTATTTTGTTTACAAAAATGTTTTTGTAATGTTTAGAGACATTCTATCTTGTAACTTATTTTTTTCAGTCAATAATTTCGGCTTTTCCATGTCAATAAATTCTTTTCTTGTACTATTCAGTACATATTCAAATTTCCCCAATTGAGCAAAAAATGTCCTTTACAGCTAATTTATCCAAATCAGCCCCCCACCTCAAGACCTTACTTTGCATCTCATGGATATATCCTTCACATATCTTTTAATTCACAATAGGCCCTTTCTTATTATTCTAACTTGATGAAAAGAACTGGCCAGCTGTTCTGAAAGACAGTCTACCTCCTGTATTTAACCTGGTTGCTTTCTTGCCTGTCAGTTTACTTGTTGCCCTGTCCTCTGTATTCCTGTAAACTGGAAGATCTAACTGAAGATGTGATCAAAACAAGTTAAACATTTCGGGCTAGAATACTTCATGAATGATAATATATACTTCATGTTGCTTCACATCAGAACACCCATATTCTGATATCTGGTTGATCCACCACCATAGGTGATAGTCAAATTGACCCCCTGGGTAATGGACTTAACTGGGGGTTTTAGAGGGAAGGGGCAAAAGGAGGGAACAATGAAGTAGCAAACGTGTGAACACAACTTGGCTACCTAAAGGAAATGGGGAACCCAGCAGCAGGCAGTGGAACGCCAAGGACATCCAATTGTACTGATCTTGTTCTAACCATTAGGGAAGGCAAAACAAAAACAAAAACAAAAAAAGAACTTGGTGGGTCCTCCATGACTCTGGGATAGCTGTTTCATAAAGAGAAATTCCCCTTTATAAAAGTGAGCTGAGCAGACACGGTATGCAGTCTATGGAGAGTCACTGTCACTCTCCTCTGTACAACCTGGGACAAAACCCAGAGACCAGGGAGGACGTTCGGTGTGTTTACATCCGCCTCCAGTCTTTTCAACAGCAGCTCTTTTCCTGCCTCTGGCCACCAGGGGGAGCTGCAACCAAGCAACCGTTCTTTCGGGCGAGCAGGAACGAATCTAGATGAATCTTGTCCAACTCAAGACCCCGTATCAAGGTGCCGAAGCCGGATGAACCGTGTTTCTGCTCTCTCGCGAGCGTGAGCCGCCCCCTCCCCGCTATCGTCCTCCGCCCCTTCCACCCCACCCGCGCACGCTCAGGCCCCTCCCAGCGGCTCGCGGCAGGGGGCGCTGTCTGCGGCGTCGCAGCGGCCCTGGCTGCCGCGGAGACGATCTCCCGGCGGGCAGTGCGGCCCGGCTCTCCCGCGGCAGCGAGTGCCACGTCCCAAGTGCTACGCGGAGGAGCGGAGCGGGCGGTGCGCGGGGGGCGGGGAGCTGCGCGGAGCCCGGTCAGGCCACACTGATCGCCCGCCGCCATGGGCTCTTCGCAGAGCGTCGAGATCCCAGGCGGGGGCACAGAAGGCTACCACGTCCTGCGGGTAAGAGCTCCGACGGCGACCCGAGAACGGTGGCATGGAGGCGGGGCCTGACTGCGGGGAGGCGGAGGCCCCGACGGGCCCTTTCCCGAGGCTACCAGGCCCGACCCCGCGAAGGAGCGGCGACCGCGGGCGCTGCTTTGGCCGAGGCCGGCTCGGGAGGCCGCTTGGATCACCCCCCCCCCGGGTGGCCGCGGGGCCCGGGGTTTCCCGCTTTGGGAGGACGGGCTGGAACCGGAGACGGCATCCCACGATTTCATCGCCGGGGGGCTGCCCAGGCGAGAGAGGGACAACCTTGGCTGCTTTTTTTCTCGCGATGTTCTCAGCCCTCGTCCCCTTAGTTCTTAGCTTCCAAAGTTAGAAAGGTTTAGGGTCCAAGTCTGCAAAGAGGTGATGGTGAAGGTATCTCATGAGTTTTCCGAGAAAAGGGAGCCCGGAACCAGCAGACAGGAGGCCGGGGGATGCGACCGCAGGTGTTAATTCACCTGGGCGCTGTCTGAATGTCCGGAAAGGCCAGTTAGGCAGACAAAACGAAATGGCCTTAAAGTACGTTTGACGGACTTAAATTTAGTTGAATTTGACAGTTTTTCCTCTCTTGTGTCGCTCCTAACCTTTCAGATCCTCCTCTTCTACGTTTCCTGGTGGGGAGGAACTTCCGTTCTGTTCTAAAAGTGTTCAGGGTGTGGTGGGGATTAAGGTTTAGAGCCAAAGTGATGAAAAGAGGTAATGGAGAGGAATGTTTAAAAATATAATCCAGATAAAGGAAAAAGAACCTCAGGCACCAGGATGCAGAGAAACATAGTATTTCAAAAGGCGTTAGCTCAGCCCCTGCATATGCACAGCCAGGGTTGAACAAAACATGTGGTCCTTTCCTCATGGAACTAGGCATCTTTAAAAGTAGCATTGATGGCTGTGTGCTGTGACACCTACGTGTGTGGTAACATGATTGACTGTCAACAGAGTGGCCCCAATCTTTAGTGCCATTTCAGAACGTAATAAAGTGTCACTAGATATTAGCTTCTCACGGGCAAGAGCATTTCACCGAAAGCGAGGAAGTACACTTCGTGGTGCTACAGTCATTTCTGCCTTAGGTCCCAGGTTTTAGGTGAGGTAGCGCTGTGATCGATCACCTTTCGGATCTTCAGTATTATCATGTCTCCTTGTCTCTTCACTCTACTAAAAATCCTTCTTGAAGCCACACTCTTGGCTGGAAAGGATGATTTTCGGGGAAAATAAAGGGAATCTGTAAATCATATTACCTTCCTATTTCCTTCAGCTAAGCCAGCCCCCAAGTACCACACTGATGGTGGAAATGGAAAAAGGGTCAGATCGCAGATATGAAGTGAAAGTGGCAGTACTTTTCTCTTTGTTATCTGTTTTGATTTTTGAGTTCTCTGCTCTGGGGTATGTTATCCAGTATGATCAGTTGATTCTTACAGTGACTGATTGTGGCCATGAATCCTTAGGGATTCATGATATTTTTATAATACATGCACTCAATAAAACAGTGTTAGTAAGTTTAAAAAGTCTGCTCGGAAGCTGTACACATCAAAAGGATTCCAATTCAGTGAATTCTGTTAATGACTACATTTGCAGTTAAATAACAAGCTAGAGTGTATTTTCTTTACATAGGTGCAACTCAGTAAATCAGCACTGATATGTATTCTGTAGTGCAGATGTGTTATGAATCTATAAATCTGATTTTTTAGAAGCACTAGGAACAACCTTAGTTTCCAATCTGCATTTGGAGCATAAATGTAGCAAAAGATAAAATACTTTTTTTGTTTGACTTTTATTAGATAGAACTTTAAAATAGTAATGATCTATCTAGTTTAGGAGAATTTTTTAAATGTGTCTGAGTTTCTAACCCACTCTGCCCCCATTCTGTAATTGGTTTATCTTTGTTCTTAAAGGCAAAGTACCATGTTAAATCTCAACAGATAAAAATATCTTTCTCTCATTTGTTTTTACCTAAATGTACAGTGGTATCTTTTGCTGGCTTACTGAGCTTGTGAACCAGAATAAATATGGCAGGATAACTTTGGAATCAAATCACTCATGTTTAAGGGTTCTAGAATGATTTCATTAGAAGTTAATTTTCTTTAATCAATTCCCTGGCCATTTCCTTGTTAGTAATGAAAACTCGTATGACTAGGTTTTGAAATACCAAGTATAGTGACACCCATATTCACTGCTGTTTTATTGTTATTTCAAAGTCCCTATAATTCAGATAGGTTGCGCTTTACATTTTTTTCCATTTTTCCATATCCATTGTTAGATTCTGCTTAAAAAAAAAAATCTTTAGGGACAACCTTGAAATGGTTCCAGATTTTCTGCTATGAATAATGTGCTTTTCTCTTTATGTTTTATATGTTTATGTATTAATGCACATTTTAATTTTGTGATCATTTTGTGTACCCAATTCCCCACCATAGATATCCACCATAGATAGTTTTTTATGTATCCTTTCAAAAATGTTTTATGCATATAAAAGACTCTACCCCCCTTCCCTCTTTTTGCTTATTTGTTTCCTTTTGTAGCTATTGGGATCATATGATACATACTGTTACACACCTTGGTCTTCTCATTTGGTAACCCATCTTGGCAGTCTTTCCATAGCAGCACATAGAGCTCTGCCTCTTGTTTCACTTTGCTCCATAGTAGTCTGTTGTACCATAGTTTGGTTAAGCAGCACCTCCTGGCGTTGGACATTTATTGTAATTTTTCTAATCTTGCTGTTACAAGTACATTTCTGCAACCTTAAATCCTACCTTTTGTTTTACTTAAAATACACATTTTTCCCCAAATTATTGAATTTTAATGTTGTCTGTTTATGTAAATGTTGATCTTCATTTTAGTAAATTAATACATTGCTTTGATTATCAGCACATGTTCATTAGAGATCATTTGGATAAGTTCAAAAAGTATAACAAAGAATTGAAATTACCTGTAATCCTCCCATGGAAAGGTAAATACTGTTGAAGTATTTTTCCTAGTCTTTTTCCTGTGCCTAACATTGCCCGTTAGCCATGTTTCACAAAGATTTTGAATGCTATGACACATTCAAGTACAGTATGGTCAAAAGTTATCATAAGATGTTAGCTTTATAACCTAAATATGCAATAGCTCAGGAATTGTTAAATAAATCAGGGCCTAATTACAGATTCGAATATGATGCATTCAGTGAAAATTGTGTTTCAGACACTCTGGACATAGTTATGCCTCTCTGTGTATGTCCATGTATATTCGAGGGCCCAGGAAAATAAAATGTAAAGGTGATAAGCCAGGCTATTAAAAATATTATTGCTGGGTGGTGACATATTTATATTCCTTTTAAAGTTTTTTTTTTTTTTTGGTCTGCTGAGCCATCCTGCCACCTGTTGGCAGCTCAGCAGCTGCTCGGGCCAGGACTCGAACTGCTGTTGCTCAGGGCTCACACTCTTGAGTGAGCTCTTAACCAACTGAGCCACTCGGTCGGCCTTATTCCTTTTAAACTTTAATGTATTTTTAAATTTCCACAATGATCATGAAAATTTATATATTCACAAAAATATAGTTATAAAAAGTTATTTCTAAAAAGTGGACTCCTACTGGAAGATTTTTTAATTTGTTCAGAAGTCTTTTAAAAATAACATATTTTAGATTCCCTTATGCAATGAGTCCGATTCCATGTTCACCATGTGTACCACTTTTATTCCCGTCCTCTAATTCTTACATTAGACAGAAAGAATGTTAGTCAAGGCTAGTTTTGTTAGAGGTTGCTATGAGTTATTACATTTCAAGTATGTCAAATGCAGAACTGTTGCCTAGAGTTTCCACTAATTATCAAGTGAATCCAACAGGGCCATTTTCAAGTTACATTTTTGGAGTTTCCTCATGGGTGCCCACTATAAGATCTATTTCTAAATTAAAGTATTCAAATTAATTCCATTGTACACTTAATACTTTTTGAGATGGGGATATCTGAGGATATTCTGAAACTAGTGTTCACACCAATATGGGTACATGGAAAATGTCATGTTCGCTATTACTTATAATTGCCTCCAACAGAGTTCTTGAGGTGATAGATTTTTGTAGGAAAGGACACTGAGATGAAATGTGTCTCCAGTGTGATAACAGGCCTTCATCTGCTGAGCCATTTGCTGCAGGCCAGGCAATATTAGTTACTGTCCTTACAGGAGGAGGTGACAGTAAGTGGAATTATTTCCGTAGAAAACAGAATACCTAGACCATATCTCCTATTATATGGACTTGCTCTTTTTATATGATGCCTCACTAATTACATGAAATCCTGCAGGATTTCAACTTAGTATTTATTTTGAGAAAGTGAATTCTCAACATTTGACAGTCATATTTTTTTTATTTTACTAACAGTGTTTCTCAAACTTTTAAAACTCATGCTTCCATTTGAAAAACGTAAGGCCGGCTGAGTGGCTCAGTTGGTTAAGAGCTCGCTCAAGAGTGCGAGCTCTGAGCAGCAGCGGTCTGAGCTGAACTGCCAACAGGTGGCAGGATGGCTCAGCTAAAAAAAAAAAAACATAAATATTTCACTACTACCCTCGTGCCTTCTCACTCATTCTGCAGACAACAGGTGAAAAGAAAACAGGGGTTTTTTTATGTGTTCCTCCAAATAAGTTATAATTGAAAAAGCTTTATGTATACCACCTAAAGATTCTGACCTGCTCCCTAAATAAATCTCTTATAATAAAAGGCTGTGGAGTTTAATAAACATTCTTGAAATTGCCTTTAAATGTAGGAGTCAGAATATTTCAGTTTGTTAACACCATGAAATACAAAGTATGGGAACCTTAGGATACTTTTAGGAATTGTAAGTACCATCAGAAATAAACATTTCCCTATATAAATAGGCCTTGAACAAATACAAACTTTCATATTTTTGTGACGAAGTATGGACTGTCATTCTCAATATCTTTATTGGGGGAGACCAGCTGTTGGTATGGTTTTTGTCTCTGGTCTGTTAATAGAGTGCACAGCACCAGCTC